CACCTGCATGTATAACCCTGGACACTCAAAACAACTGATATTCCGTCCCAAGCATATTTGCGATTATCAAACCCGTCCAAAAACTCTCATTCTCAAAGAAACTCGGTTTCCTGGCTACTGTATATCAAAGTATTAATTTACGTATCATCGTTCTTTTACAACAAACTTATGCTCATTATAAATGATGTTTTTTTGTTGTTGTAAGTTTTTAAAAAATGGTTTCTATGCAATTGCAGTCTCAGTTATAAGTCAAAATTCATTGTTTAAGATATTAAACATAAATATATGTATATAGCGCATGTTGTAAATTGTGTTTGGTGACATTATATCTGTAAGTGCTTATATACATTATGACGTAAAAAGAACACCAAAGGGAAGCATGCACAGCAGGAGTTTACCGATCATCTGTAAAAAGGTCTCTCGTCGACAATTGTTTGGTCCCATCCTTCTAGATTTCTATGAGTGCCGATCAATACACTTTCTGTTACTCGATTAATTCCTAGACAATTGCAGAGGCTGAGTCGACCTGGGTAATAACTCCCAGGCCTCAGACATCCCCTGCTATATTTAACGGACGTTCGGACAAGACGAAATGGTAGCGTTGAAATACGTATTGTGAGGTTTGGTGTTATATATTGTCGCTACAGTAGCAAATTAACCGCCTATTTTCACAACCAGAGTGACAAGTGAACAGCTGGTACCTTGGACAGACATTAGACTTTAGTAATTGGCAGAGAGACACTGGAGACGTTGATCAGACACTTTGGCATTAAGCGATGTAAAGTTCTTTTCGATCAAGGGCTCGGACTGGTCTACAGAGGCCCATCCCCCACGACGTTACGTTGTGTGCACAGCCGGCTCGAAACCCTTTGTACATTAGGACTGGTCGTCCTCATCCTGGCTTCACCCACAATGTCCACCAGTTCTTTAGGAACTTTATTGTGGCGCCATGTCTATCGTCCCTGGCCCAGGGATTCTGCTTAGCTCTGCATAGGGGACATACCTGGGTGGTGTCACGTCATTTGGCCATGTTGGTACCAGAGGGTAGCACGTGATAAAATTGATCGTAAGATATTTTCTAAGATTGGAGCCGAAGGGCGCAACACTGACAACATAGCGATGTCAGTTTAGCAGCCTGAATCTTTAAACCTTGGAGAAAAGTACAGATAATGAATATTGATGATGGTGACAATAATGATGATGATGATGATGATGATAATGACATACAATGAATGCCATGAGTGAAATTTATGAATGAAAAATGTATATTGCAGGAAATGAAAGTACCGCGAGTTTAGCACATAATACAATAAACGACATTTTTGACACAGGAAGTACGGTTAGGGTGGTGGGGTGGGGATGGGGGCGTTGGAGATGGAGAGGTATATATATAAAGCCGTCTTGACATTATGGACCCTTGGGTAAACCAGTTTGCTGGAGCCCCAACTAATACCAGCCATAAAAATGAAATTTGCTTTTATGGCTAGACATTTGACATACACGTCCCCTCCCCAGGCTAGTGCTCGGTGGTTCCATGCGTCAAGGTGGTACTAGGTGGACAGAGAAGGAAGAAACAGAAATTCACAACTATAAAATCTTGATACAGTACAGCATTTGATCTTGCTTCAAGCATGTTAAGTCTAATGTATGTTTGATTTGTCCCAACAAATATCAACATGAGAAGGATACACGGCGGTAGCAATTTTGTTTTTGTCGTATGTTTTGCACCAATAGACCATAATTATTTATAATCATTTGATTTTCGTCTCTTTTTCCATTGACAGAAAATGTGCGAGAAGATGATGTGTGAAACGGACATTATGTTGTGTGAATGGGGCATTATGATTGTGTATAGGACCTCATGCTGTGTATATGTGACACATGTTGTGTGACTGGGCTATTTTGTTGTGTATATTGGACATCGTGTTGTATGTATGGGACATTATGATGTATGACTGGGACATCATTGTTTGTGACTAGGTTATCTTCTTGTATGTATGGGACATTATGATGCATGACTGGGACATCATTGTTTTTGACTAGGTTATCTTCTTGTATGTATGGGACATTATGATGTATGATTAGCTTATCTTGCTGTATGACTGGACTATCTTGCTGTACGACTGGGCTATCTTGCTGTACGTCTGGGCTATCTTGCTGTACGACTGGGCTATCTTGCTGTACGACTGGGCTATCTTGCTGTACGACTGGGCTATCTTGCTGTACGACTGGGCTATCTTGCTGTACGACCGGGCTATCTTGCTGTACGACTGGGCTATTGTGTTGTATGACTGGGCTATTGTGCTGTACTACCGGGCTATCTTGCTGTACGACTGGGCTATTGTACTGTACGACCGGGCTATCTTGCTGTACGACCGGGCTATCTTACTGTACGACTGGGCTATTGTGCTGTATGACTGGGCTATCTTGCTGTACGACCGGGCTATCTTGCTGTTTGACTGGGCTATCTTGCTGTTTGACTAGACTATCTTGCTGTACGACTGGGCTATCTTGCTGTACGTCTGGGCTATCTTGCTGTACGACTGGGCTATCTTGCTGTACGACTGGGCTATCTTGCTGTACGACTGGGCTATCTTGCTGTACGACTGGGCTATTGTACTGTACGACCGGGCTATCTTGCTGTACGACCGGGCTATCTTACTGTACGACTGGGCTATTGTGCTGTATGACTGGGCTATCTTGCTGTACGACCGGGCTATCTTGCTGTTTAACTGGGCTATCTTGCTGTTTGACTGGGCTATCTTGCTGTTTGACCGGTCTATCTTGCTGTACGACTGTGCTATATTGCTGTTTGACTGGGCTATTGTGCTGTATGACCGGGCTATCTTGCTGTTTGACTGGGCTATTGGGCTGTATGACTGGGCTATCTTGCTGTACGACCGGGCTATCTTGCTGTACGACCGGTCTATCTTGCTGTACGACCGGGCTATCTTGCTGTACGACCGGGCTATCTTGCTGTACGACCGGGCTATCTTGCTGTATGACCGGGCTATCTTGCTGTATGACTGTGCTATCTTGCTGCACGACCGGGCTATTCTGCTGTACGACTGGGCTATTGTGTTGCATGAGTGGACTATCTTGCTGTATGACTGTGCTATCTTGCTGTACGACCGGGCTATCTTGCTGTACGACTGGGCTATTGTGTTGTATGACTGGACTATCTTGCTGTACGACTGGGCTATTGTGTTGCATGAGTGGACTATCTTGCTGTATGACTGGGCTATCTTCCTGTACGACTGGGCTATTGTGTTGTATGACTGGGCTATCTTGCTGTATGACTGGGCTATTGTGTTGTATGACTGGACTATCTTGCTGTATGACTGGGCTATCTTGTTGTATGACTGGGCTATCTTGTTGTATGACTGGGCTATCTTGTTTATGACTGGACTATCTTGTTGTAGGACTGGGCTATCTTGCTGTATGACTGGGCTATCTTGTTGTATGACTGGACTATCTTGCTGTATGACTGGACTATCTTGTTGTATGACTGGACTATCTTGCTGTATGACTGGACTATCTTGCTGTATGACTGGACTATCTTGCTGTATGACTGGACTATCTTGCTGTATGACTGGACTATCTTGCTGTATGACTGGACTATCTTGCTGTATGACTGGACTATCTTGCTGTATGACTGGACTATCTTGCTGTTTGACTGGACTATCTTGCTGTACGACCGGGCTATCTTGCTGTACAACCGGGCTATCTTGCTGTACGACCGGGCTATCTTGCTGTATGTATAGGACATTATGTGACTGGATTATCTTACTGTTTGAATGGGACATTATTTTGTGTATACGGCACAGGATGAACAAGATGGAATGAAATGAACGAACAAACTTTATATTTAAAAACGTGGGCACGCAGGCCCGTCTAACATTAGGCCCTTCTAGACATGACAAGAAAAACCATTTTCCTAATAAGTCTCTGCTGTTTTGTTCTGCTGTGGCGCAGTGAGTAGCCCACATATCAGCTAACCGTAAGCTCGAGTGTAAGAATCCTTCTCGAGACGAAATGTTTGCCCACAGATCTAGTCATGCAAACATGTCGTAACATCCATCAACAATGTGCCATCTCCTCAATGAAGGTTGGTTGCAGTTAAACTTCCACTGTCTGTGTGTCTTGTCTTCGTTCTACACCATTCGAGTGTGAGGATCCCTCTATAGACTCAGGCACAAATTATATTTGCCTTCGCTGACATTATCCAACAAGTCTAGCCAATCACAACAATGTGATCTTAACCACACCCATTCAGCGAGTGCCGATTGGCTAATGAAAACATGGACAGCATAATAGAGGTCTCAGATATTGACACTGGTCATTTATTTGCTTCATGATTCTTGACCAGACACGAAAAACGTTTTTTTTTTTTTTTTGGGGGGGGGGGGGGGGGGGGGGGGGGTAACTATTTAAGGAACTTGGTATGTTTGGGCTATATGTTACATTTAAAGACATTTTCTAAATTGTGAGGCCCTCAGGCGGCCATTTTTTGGAGGGGAAGGGAGCCTAAAAAGGTTGAAGGAGCCCTAAGATTCCAGCGCCTCTGCTAATCAGATAATCGGGTAATCACAGTTCCAGCTTCATAACAAACGGGTCACCACATGGTTGCTCCGTTCCTGAGCCAACGAAACCCCCACAGAATGTCCACTACAGTCCCCTGTGAACACCATTTACATAGACTGCAGTTTCAGCCAAGCTAACAGCAAACACGCGCGTCAAAGTCATATGGACAGCAATAGTGCCAACACAAACAGTCCGGCACTAGAAATGCAGTTCATCGTCGATAGAAGCAGCAGTTAGAAGAGATCAGAAGTTGCACAAGCAATTAATCGTGTAAAGTACCAGTTCTCTGGCGACAGGGCAGTCACAATTTTCTGAATTTGCCGTTTACAGTTCACAACACACAAAACAGTTGGGAAAAGTCGAAAAGCATTTTTTTTTTTTAAAATCAAAATAAAATCCACAGCTCACAGTAACTG